ACCCCGTGCGAGTCGTGTGAGCATGACTCATGATTTGTATATTGTTTAAAGAATGGGGATCGCTATAACATCCAACATATGTGACATTTCTGATAATAATTATATATATATATATATATTTATATATGTTTTTATATATATATATAAAAAAAACATGTGTGACATTGTTGTACTGAATATGGGATCCAATGTAAGATAGAAATAAACAAATATACCCAGAAATTTCAGAACAATTTGCAGAAATATGCAATGAACTTTAATAATTGTGGATGGGCATAAATAAAAAAAAACATATTTTTGGTTATGAAAAATCAAATAATTACATCCACGTGCAAATTCGCATTCCATACCACATGCACAATAATTGAAATTTCTGGGAAATGATTTAATTCATTTCCCATCAAATTGCATTGCTACGAAAAGAGGGTACCAGCTACTGTGCTTCATCTATCAATTTGTGTTTTTATTCTCAAAAGTATTTTTATTTTTTTAACAATTTTAATTTTCCAAGAAAACTTGTATCATAGTTACTAGCACAGTCAGAATTTTAAGTTTGAGAGATCGAATGCATTAAACCAATTGAGAAAGGGGTGTTAATGCTACTTTACACATTTTAAAAAAAAATTATATAAATTAATAAAGATTTTTATAAATTTATTCTCCGTGACCTATAACATTTAGGGTAAATTATGACCACCCCTGAGGTAAAATTAAGTTACAAAAAAACCTCTCTTATAATTGGGTAATTGCAACCATCTTCTCCATTATAATTTCTTTTACCCGTTCACCCGTATGCTGTCGAATTCAAGGAATCATCTAGATTCTAAGGAATATTATCTAGTTTGTACTCATTTTGTGCAAAAATGTAGTTTCTGATGCACCACAATTTGATATATACAAGCCAAGAGGCACAAACTGGAGCTCGATTCAAAATGTGGAGATTGAATTGAATAAAACGAGTACAAACTTACGCTAAATTTGATACCGCAAGGATGAACGTGTAAGAAGATTCATAATTAAAACGTAATTGTAATTATCCAAACATTAGGGATTTTTTTCGTAAGTTAACTATAACTTAGGGATGACTGTAATTTACCAAAATAAATAAATAAAAGACAGAAAGGAGAGTCATTCTTGACAGTCTCACCAAAAAAATTACATTCCCAAGGCCTTTCTCTGTCTACAAAAGTTAGTAGTAGTAACATTTAAATAACAGCAAACATAAAATTTAGTACTAAACAAAGCAACTACAACTAAAATCTATGCAGATTGTAATAATAATAATAATTAAAAAAATAAAATAAAAAAGTCCAATTTCCAACCCTAAATAAAAAAAAAGAAAAAATATTAATAACAAAAAAATAAAAACCCAAATGTTTTGCAGTGTTTCCAAATAGTACAAAACTACACAAAAATTGATAAATTGACCTTCAACTTTGTTCTTTTTGCAATTAATTATTTAATCTTTTTATTTAATTTAATTTTCTAAGGCATGAAAAGCTTGTTCCCACATTTGCACCTCCAGGCCTCAGGATAGTACTCCAATGGCAAACTCATCCCGGGTTGAATCGGCACGTGCACCGCCTTACACGGCGAGCACCTCCCGCACTTCGATCTGCACGACGGCGGCGATGACCCCAAACTCCCGAGTCGCCGCCGATTCATAACTCGCTCCCCCGCTTTCCCACTATTACTTAACCTACTCACTCCAACACCTACATATATATATATATATTACGCACACGCAGAAAAAAAATTATAAAACGGGCCGGGCTTATCAATTGGTGGAATTAAATTAATTAATAAGAAAACCATATATATATTAAGAGAGAGAGAGAGAGAGAGAGAGAGAGAGAGAGAGAGAGAGAGAGAGAGAGAGAGAGACTTACTACATTGGCGAGTTGGGGCGAAACCT